ATGATACTTTTCTTCCATTGTTTTAGTAGCATATATACGTATGCTGCTATGAAACTTATGAAGATACTCATATTGTTAGAGATGGGACTGATGTTATGTCCAAATGACAGTGTAAGAGAGATAAAATTGCCTAGCGGGAATAACTAATTTAAGCATTAAGATAATGATTTAAACATTATTTGGATCTGGGAAATAATTTCAGATTGGGAGTAACATTATTTGGAGCATTGTCGGGAAATTAGGGAATGTCTAAATAATTAAAATTTTGATATATCAGAGTCTTTATGTGTATGATAATGAGCTTAATGAATTGAAATGTCGAAGTGGATAGAATATACTTCCATGAGATTGACGGTTCTTGTGTATGTATATATACGAGTTCTGTTTAATGCTCCCTTGTAATAAATAGCTGTCTCAATGTTTTGAATTTGGTAGTTGATTGAAGTCTATTGTTTTATGCCTCTAGATGTATAGTAACTGCTCCAAATGGTTTGATGGTGTGTGGACACATTAATATGATGATTTGATCATTAAACGATATTTCTAATCTAGAAACAATTAAATAACGAAGAAGATTGACAAGGGTCTTGGAAGAAATGCATTAAGTATCTCAAGGCTTTATTGGGTTAAATTGATGAAGTAGAATGAAGAAATCAGGCCTATTCGTTCCCCTTCTTGTTTCAGGTTATATAGTGCTGCTATTTGAAGCATTTTGATGGTTAAAAGTTAATTACGAACTTGTAAAAATATGGGTAAAGCAAGTGAATACAAGGTGGTGTATAAGAATGCGTGTAATGGACTTGCTTGTTCTTGTTTCTAGTTGCTGAAATTGAATATTATTATTATGAAATATTTTTGCACAAGTTGATGAATGACACTGTCAAATAGTGAATTGTTACCTTATATGTCATGGGGCCCATGTTAAATTAAATGCTTAGAGGTCAGAAGTTGAAAAACTCCTTGTTGATTAATATCAGTATGTGTTACAAAGCCAAGGTGACGTGTTGAAGCTTGAAATTAGACATGAGTTGTTGTTTGGTTGGTTCTTGATGTTAAATGAGGGTCTTAAATGCTTGACATATATGTATTCGGTGCTGTGATACATGGGAAACAGATGCAAGTTGATGTGTAATTGTAAATAAATTCAAATATTTTAAAGATTGTAAACGGTTACTAACCGTTAGGAGCATTAGTTAGTAGGCATTAGTTGTCAGGCACTTCATACTTCAACCTAGGCCTATAAATAGATATGAAAGGGTATCCAATAGTACGATATATTGATTTTCAGGAATACACAGTGCACTATTCAGTAATGCTTTCTGTTTTCTCTCCGTCTTCTCTAAATCTCTCTGCCTACTTCCTATCTTCCCCTGTCTCGCTCCCTCTCTGAATCTCTCTTCTATCCCTCTTTTTCTATTTCTATTCTATCAGTGGTATCAGAGCCAGTCTTTCCTCGGCATTACCCACAAAATTTAGCTTGGTTTATGGTACTTACTCGTGGCCAGACAAGAATTATGGAAGAACGACTTCGGCTACGGCACATTCGACAACAGGGCTCGGTAGCTGACTTCAACGATACGTTTGATTCCTTCTCCGCCAAACTTGATTTACCAGAAGACTACCTCATTGATGCATATGTTTTTGCATTGAAGGAAGAAATCGCTGACTCGGTTCGACTATTTAGACCAAGTACTATGCGTCAAGCCCGATCATTTGCAAGAACACAAGAGATATGCTTGCAATGGCAAGCCGAGAAAGCAAGAAAAGCCTTGGATGTCCAGAGCAAGCAGATGACGCCGCTGCTAGTGAAGAACAACACCCAAGAAGAGTGTTATGAGTTGCCAGATGCATCACCCACCCAAGAAGAATGTGACGGCAAGTTCAAGGTAGGCCAAGAACTATTGGCACGTGACATTAACGTCAAGAAGGATCTTCCGTCTGAGGCTGGGAGCACAGACGTAAGCCTGAGCGTCTGCAAAGAAGCTTCCTCTGCCTTTGTTTCGTCTGAAGTTCGTAGTGGCGGACTCATGAAGGCTCCCCGGTGCGTTATTGAAGATGGGCAAGAAAATGCCGGAAAGACCCAAGAAGCTATAAGCATCGAAGACGTACCCAAGGCAATAACAGAAACCACAAGTTCCTTTGGCTATCGCTTTAGAGTCTCGGGTGCGACAATGCATCACAAAGATTTGAGGATGACTTCGAACGGAGTTGGGATCACAACGCATGGGTTTTCCTTTGTTCTTCGCAACCTAGGGACTTGGAAGTACATGGAAACTGCGACTGCAATTGATGGGTTTGTGCGACTCGATCTTGAGGGCGGCGTACAAGAACCTTCGCACGAAATGGACACAATGGAAGTGACAGCTGGGTCGCGCAATATGACTTCAAGCTTTGCCTTCCTTCGGAAATTTCAGAGTGGGTTGCATAGTATATCTCCAAGCTTGGCACCATCACCTTTTATGTCAGCTCCCTCTTCGATGCTATGTTCTGTTTCTTCCTTGTCAACTTCTATCTTTGATTATCCTTCACCGTTCATTTCTGTTCCTCCTCGTGTCGGCCATGTTTTGACGAAGACGCAGAACTTCCTGCAGCTTTGGTGCTTAAGTGAGACTTCCCAAGCGGCGAAAACGAGTACAGACCAGGACTTGAATACGTGGCCGTATATTTCTCATGTTGAAAAGTCAAGGAGACAACTGGCATTTATTTCTTTGAAGTTGCAGTGGGTTTTCTTGAAATTCTACGAACTGAATGTCATAAGTGGAAGCCAGCTATCATCCATCATTGATTCATGGGTTCATGGGTCATCTAAAAAGGCCGAAGTCATTTGCATGAGCCCATTGATAAGGAAATTTCTCACATGGGCTTTACTTTTTCAATTTGCCCCCATCCATTTGTTCATTCTAATGTGGTATAGAGGACGATTGATCCAAATGCTCTTGGGGTCAACTGTAGAACTATTGCTACACTTTCTAGCAGCTGTTTTCAGAGTTTAATGCCCGAGTCCTTGGCGTAATTGTTTGTAATTTTGTTGTTTCTGATCCTTGAGGGCAAGGATCATTTTTGGGAGGGGGGTATTGATGTGTAATTGTAAATAAATTCAAATATTTTAAAGATTGTAAACGGTTACTAACCGTTAGGAGCATTAGTTAGTAGGCATTAGTTGTCAGGCACTTCATACTTCAACCTAGGCCTATAAATAGATATTAAAGGGTATCCAATAGTACGATATATTGATTTTCAGGGATACACAGTGCACTATTCAGTAATGCTTTCTGTTTTCTCTCCGTCTTCTCTAAATCTCTCTGCCTACTTCCTATCTTCCCCTGTCTCGCTCCCTCTCTGAATCTCTCTTCTATCCCTCTTTTTCTATTTCTATTCTATCACAAGTTGTGCTTGTTTGCAATAATTAAATTTATGACTTTTGTTCTTTCCTTGTTTTTGATCAACTATGGTTCAATGGATTAAGAAGTTAAGAGAAACATAAGAAAGGGGAAGTGTTAGAAACCTTTGGAAATACATAGATGAAGTGTAAATTGTGGGCCAAGATGACCAGTCACTTTAAGAGAAGAGAGTACACTTGAGCGGGGGTTACAGAGAGATTTAGCTATTTATGGGTTAACCAAAATCCCAATTTTAACTCACCCTATATATGTACTTGTAATGTTGACATTTAATTGGCATCCTAGCTTACCAAGAAGAAACCAAGAGTAAGGTACCCGCACAAGAGAGCAGGCAAAAGGTAGTTTTAATCATTATTTTGTATGTTTTGTATTGGTTGCATGTTTGTCTGTGCCATAAGGTTATAGTTAAGCATGAGAACATGCAAATTACCTTACCAGTTATTGCCATGGCCATGTGCATGCATTTCACTGTCCAGTATATGCATATTTAGCAGTTAATCAGATAGCAACTGCACAGTTATGCAGTTAATCAGATAGCAGCTGCTCAATTATACAGTTAATCAGATAGCAGCTGCTCAATTATGCAGTTAATCAAATAGCAGCTGCTTAGTTATTCAATCATCAGTTAGTAACTACTCATTTAATCTGTATGCATATGCTTAGTTAATTAGTGTGCATATGCTCAATTAATCAGTTAATAGCTGCTTAGATATTCAGTTATGCGTGACAATTATATGAAATTCAGTTAAATGACGGCGAATATGTCCCAATTAATTATTCAATTCAGTTCAGTTATTTTGTAAGGTATTGTACTCTGTGGTTTGTTTTGCATGCTCAGTTTTATACCATGCATAATATAGAAAACATGATTATTGCTACTGGGATTCTTTGAATCTCACCTCTCCTTTCTATTTAACCATAGGGCCTAGTGCATCTAGAGGAAAAGAGAAGCCGGTGGAAGCTTAACTAAGGTGAAAGGAGAGAAGAGCTTAGTGCTTAGTTAATTAATTAATCTTGAATGTTTTATGTTTTTGTTTCCCCCTTCCTTTTGTGATGCTTATGTTTCACTTTGGTGTGGCTATGTAAATTCTACTTATGTGATGTATGTACCTCCATAAGGAGGAGTGATTGGGGGGTAGCTTAGCATAACTGGGGACTTAGCATACATATATGCATATATTGATGTTATATCTGTGGCATGAATGATTTAGGATTTACAAAGCATGATTTATTAGAGCCGGAACAAAACAGTAGAGTTTTTAGAAGTAACATCTGTATAGCTCTGATATATAGATGTTGCTATTGAGTAAAGATAGAATGAATTCAGGTCTTATTATATCGTATAAAACTTTTAAAGTTATAAGTTTTGAGTCAAAGTTAGATAAAAAGTTTTAAAAATACCCCTTTTTCAGTGTAAACTCTCTACCATAGTTTTTTTACATCTGCTTTCATCTAAGTATACAGAGTAGGATGTTACATGAAGAGTCAGTGAAGTGTGAGCGCGAGCTGAAAAAGAAGAAGTAACAAGCCACTGTCATCACAAATACAAACTGAAAAGAATTGATGATTACATACAGTGGTGAGGGGAGAGTAGTACAAGATTTAGATATGGGTATTATGGTAAGGCTATATTATTAAAAACTTCTGGCATATTTTCTTTATGTATAGAAGAAAATTAAATCATGTCTTAGTATTATTATTAGGCGACACCTGAGCCTATTCCTGGCTGAACCTCTACCAGTACTGGGTGCCAACTCATTGCATTCACTAATTGTCATTTGATTTATCTATATGATTCCTCTTACGCATATGAATATATATTTTAAATTTTTAATGCATATGTGCTGGTTGTTGATTCCAGTGATGGAGGCAGACGAATTAGAGATGGTTATTTTGAACAAGGCCATATCTGAGAATGACTTGTGCGGCGCAAAAGCAGTCATTGATCGCCACCCTAAGGTATTGGACGTAGATTTTGGAGCTTCAAGAGGCGAAACACCTCTTCATATAGCTGCAAAGTTCGGGCATGTGGCCATAGTACACGAGTTGATGAAATTGGTTGGACCAGAATATCTTGAAATATGGGATTATTATGGCTATACTCCACTTGCAACAACTGCCACACATACGGGATCCATCCCAATTGCAACATGCATGATAGACAAAAATAGCGGGGCACTTACAATTCCAGCTCAATGGCCTTGGCTGATTCCTGTTACCTTGGCTTTTTTTGGTGGCCACAACGAATTGGGACGTTATCTCTATTCTGTCACTCCTTTGCAAGTCTTCAAACCAGAAAACGGCTCTTTTGTGGGTCCTGAGTTTCTCCGAACCTGTTTGAGAAATGGAGAATTTGGTAACATAATTTTTAGATATATAATTTCACTCGCAAAGCACAATATATGTTTCATTTTCATTTTTTCCCTCTCGTCTCCTTATACCATATGATTTTGATACATAAATAGATATTGCCTTGCATTTGCTCCAACGATGCACAGAGCTGCTTTTTGCTGTTGACGAGGATGGGAACTCAACAATTGCGAATATTGCACTCTCTCTTCCTCATTCTCTTCATAAAAGTCAACTTCCGTTCTTGAAGCGATGGGCCTATCACTGTGAGTACATATTATTACTTTCCACTCGCTCCCTACAATTTTCTATATATGTCATTTGCTTTTTTAAAGTACTCCCTAGCCATAACGGCGAATTATGATGATGACAGTAAAGATGGTGAAGATGAAACAACCTCTGGTATAATTTAGTTTATACACACATGCTTATTCCAAATCCGTCTCACTCTTCCTCTCTTACTTCTGCCTTCCTAATTAAATAAAGAAAGCCTTTTGAAAGAAATTCTCAATCCACAATATAAGTCACTTGCTCGATCATTAATGATTTTTTCTTTTCCCAAATAGGTGTTACCCCTCCCCATTATAATTTATTAGAAGAGGAGTTGAAGTATCATATGGTGTTCCTCTGTGCTCTTAAATATGTGCAAAGTTGCAAAAAATATTTTATTTTTAAATTTGACTTGGTCAACCACTTTTCTCGTTCTGGTGAGGTAGTACTCCTTCCGATCCTTATTATAGGGCATTTTCAACTAATTCTTACATACTAATTAATGACAGTTAAAGTATTAAATTTCTCTTAATAATTTTTTTCAAGATTCCCTTCAACTTAGATTAAATAATATAGATAGAGAAACACGGAGTTCAATGAGCTTATAAATACTAAACCTTAATTAATAATAAGGGTGAAATTGAAAAGTAGCGATTAATGAGTTATATAGTTGATGACTTATGTTGAGAATAAAAAATTGCTCCTACAAAATGCCCTGTACTAAAAACTAAAGGGAGTGAGAGTGAGGTGACTTAAACTATGGATCGAATAGAGTAAAAGGAAATTCCACTATGTATAGAAGATGTTGGGAAGTGTAAACAATAAATTTGCCAGGAGTTTTAGGTATAGCTTTTCAGGAACTCTAAATCCATATTTATATGTATTTAGGAATGCGTAAGTTCTTTGACTAAAAATTAAAAGACTCCTCCTTTGCTCCTCTCTTCCAAGCCTATTCTTTAATTTAGTTAATTTTCACTCATGCCTTTGTCATTTCGCAAGTCTTAATCGCTCGTAGGGGACGACAACTCTAGCCTAAATATATTTACAAGTAGTTTTGTCTTCTGATAATTCATTATTATTGTCATTGTGAGCATAATAACAGTATTTATTATAACTACACTACATCCAGTAATAACATAAGATATCTTCTCAAATTTTTCATGGTCCATTATTAGGCTCTTTGAAAATTTGGTGAAATGTTTATGACGTATATTCCCAAAACTAATGTCGGCAAAAAAATTCCAAAAATACTGTTTATGTAATTGACCCTCAATTAATTGGAAGATATTATCTTTCACTTTTTCAAAGAAAACAATCCCGCAATCCATTAGGAGGTGGCGGTGATTAATTAATACTATTTATGTAATTTACTTGTGCTTCTAATTATTTACTGCATTATTATTTGAAGAATCTTATGTTTTCCCATTTCTTTGATCACTTTTGGGTGGAAGATATTAAAATACCATCAACCCCAACCACTGGGCATTTCTGCGTGGATATTCAGCAAGAAGGCGAGGACAAAAGTGCTGGTCAAGGTACAATATCCTCTATAATCACTTTAGAAGATGAAATCAAATAATATTATATAACTATTATTACAGAACATGGTAGATTATAATTTGTAAAGTTTTTCATTTAATTTAGCGCACATAAAACCAGGTATGCCAAAATATGAAATTTGAAATTAAAAATTAATTTTTATTATAAGCTCGATTTGTGAATATTGAGATGTCTCAGTCTTAATTTATGCACAGGTTACTCAATGTTTGCAACTTTGCATTTAATTAAGTTGCACCTAGCTTTGACCCGAGAAAAAAGATTAGACTTGTATAATCACACACAAATAAACGCTTGGGGGGGGGGGGGGGGCGAGAAAGAAAGGATAAACCTATATGTGTGTGTGTCTGTGTGTGTGTGTAGACATAGACATGCATGCATACATACCCTCTTGAATGACTGGGCTAAAAGAAAAAGAAAAATGCATGTCAACAGGCATAGGTCTACGCCGTTGGGTCGTCTCCAGCATATATAATTTGTCAGGTACGTATATGTGTGTGCGCACGCCAAAAAGTTGCCCACAACTTAAATCGATTGCCTTTGACATTCTAGTTCTATTTCGGTTGTCAATGGTGCAGGAATGAAGGAAATATATAAGATGAAGCTGCAGCGTACACAAGCAGATGAAATTCTAAACCTAGTGTGTCAGAATCTGATGCTTCTGAATGTACAAAAGAGGAATATGATTAGAATAGCACTGAATTGTGCAGCTCAGCAGGACAATGCTGAGTTTGTTTTGCGAGTAACAAAGGCAAACCCGGAGTTAATCTCACTAGTTACTTCTGTTTACCTAAACTATCCCATTTTTGTCATTACTGTTGTTGAATATCGTAAAGCTGCGGTTTTCAGCCTCTTCCTTTGTTTTCAATTTAAGATTATGGCAGCAGCAACAGCAGCAAAAATGATAGCAGCAAAAGAGACAGGAAATAACTTGCTACATTTGGCAGCCTTGTTAGCTCCTGCTTCCTACCTTAACTGCATCTCCGGTGCAGCATTGCAGATGCAAAGAGAACTGCAATGGTTCAAGGTTAGAACTGAAATTTGATCCTTTTTTGTGCATGCCAGAGGCAGAAGAAAATGAATCATATTAACACATGCACACATGTCCGGTTTTTTTCCTTGCTAATAATTAGGATTCATTATTATATGGTGCAATTTAATAAATGAAGTTGACTAAAGAAGGAGATGTTTTGTTTAATGATTTTTTTTTTTTTTAATTCATAGACACATCTGATGAGACTTGCTGATTGTGAAGTAGCTAGAAAAGTGAATTAATTTTATATCCTTGGATAATTCCTTGTATAATGCAAGAATAACAATGGGTTAGCTTATATGAAACAAATTAATTTTTTTTAATATACAATTAATCAATTCTAGCTATTTTGTTACTTTGAGTCTTTCATTTATTGCTTATTTATTTATTTATTTATTTTGTATATACATAGGCTGTTGAGAGCGTGGTGGATCCTGGATACAGGCTAGATCAAAACAAGAAAGGGCTGATTCCTCTAGAATATTTCAAGAAAAACCACAAAAAGCTGAGGGCTGAAGGAGAAAAATGGATGAAAGAAACAGCATCTTCTTGCTCAGTTGTTGGGACTCTAATTGTTACCATCATGTTTGCCGCAGCTTTAACAGTTCCTGGGGGAAACAATCAGGATTCAGGGTACCCGATATTTATGAAGGAGAAGTTATTTAAAGTTTTCTTGATCTCAGATGCACTTTCTTTGTTTTCATCCGCTACTTCTGTACTCACATTTTTAGGAATCCTCACCTCACGCTATGCAGAAGAAGATTTCCTTTACTTGCTACCTACAAAATTGATAATAGGTCTTTCTACATTGTTTTTGTCTATTGCAACTATGATGATTTCCTTTTCAGCAACAATAATGATAATGTTGCAATATAACTTATCACGTTTATGGTTTACTCTTCCTGTTACTTTGCTCGCTGGTGTTCCTGTAACCCTCTTTGTATTATTACAATTTCCTCTTCTTGTTAAAGTGTTTTCTTCTACTTATGGCCCAAGCATCTTCAAGAAGAAGGTGGAAGAGTGGCCATGAACCGTGCATGTAATTAATTCAAATCTTACCATATATGTATGATTTCCTACTGAATAAAGATTCTCCTCCTCTTGAATCTTAATTGTGTAATAAGCCAACTGCTCATATTTTTAGCCTATGTTGGAGGTGTGTATCAACTTTTGCATATTTAGAACATAAATATATATATTGATGTGGTTATGCCAAATTAATTAGATTAATTAGCTGATGCCTGACAGGACTTAGTTTTGGGGATGATTTTTGTTTGTTTGTTTGTAGACACAGGTATTCTTCTATTGAAGGTAATCATGTTTGAGATATAGTTGGGTACTAAATATAAGTAGCTCTCTTAGTTGGGATTTGAATATTGATTCACTGCATTTTGCTTTGTGGATGAATTATTTATTTTTAATGGGAACAAATCAGACAATAAAATGGTTGTACTCTCGGTGATTCAATTACGAGTGGTCCAAACCAGAGTCATCACATGGGTTTATACATGTGATGGGCACGTGGTACTTTATAATAATGACGATTAAGAATAATTTTAAAGAATGATAGAAGCCCTTCCAGAAGTTTAACAAGTCAACTCATGATCTTGTTGACTGTTTCAGGGCCTAACTTGTTTTCAATATATGGGTTCTGTTTTACTTAGATTTATAGAAGTACTTACTTCATATCTTATTATGTTATGTATTGAACAAGAAATTTCAGATCCCCTTAAATTTTATTATGTAAATAAAGCACATAGTTTTATTTTTAGGCTAATTAATGTTTTTGCGTGTCATCAGGCTTTGCACATTTAGAACATAAACATTGATAATGTTGTGACTGTAGCAGGACACATGGGCCTGTTATAGTTTGAATCAAGATAAAGTTGAACCATTTAAATTTAAATTACCAAAAAAAAAGTTAATAAAAAGTTTAATGGTATTCATGAGCATTTTTTTTCGTCAATAATAAGAAATTTCAGTTAAGCAAAAAAGTTATGGATGAGATTTTTTAAATTTAAATTTTAGATATTAAAATCATTAGTGTAATAAAATATATTAAAATATTCAATTAATTAATTTATCTTAAAAATTCACCATCTTTCCTTGGCTCTGTGTGTGAGGGTGCCCGTCAAGTCAAATCAATCAAATTAGAGCCTAAAAAATCAAGCTGCCGACCATCATTCCATTGAAGGAGTATCATTGACGATACCAACAGATTTTTTTAAGCGGACTTTGGACTCTTTTCATTTGTTTTGTATACAGAGAATGTAAATGGCACTGCTAAGTTTCTTTATTGCTGAAAGATAATTCATCGTGAACATGAATTTTGACTATATCGCAATTGAAGTCGTAGCGCAATATCAGAAACTCCTCTTCCATGATTGCGTTATGATGCAACAAATTAAATGAGTACTTTATTAACATACAAATGCGTAGTCAATTATGATTTTTTTTTATTATGAAGAAAAAGCTAAGGTTGATTGCAGATGATGATCAAGTCCTTGTCGCAGTAGCTAATCATGCCAAGAGATTTATCGATACGGGAATTGCATTTCAAATGCATTTAAATTTTTGAAAGAAAGAGGGTCATGAAACTCGTTTGACTTTTGTTTTGGTTCTAAATATAAGATGTCATTTGATTTTATTTATCATATTTATCTATTTTTTTCCTAATGTAGTCTTATAATAATGATAGTTTTAATCAGTACATTTGATTAGCAAAGATATTTTAGAAAAGAAAACATATATTTATTACAAATAATTAACTTAATTAGTTTTTTTTAATTTACTCAAATCAGTTAACTAACTTTTATATTAAAGACCAGATGTAGTAATTCATTAGGGGTGTATGTGGAAACATTCTTTAATTATTCCTAGAACTAACTTTCTTGTAATAATTAGGGACACTAACTCTCTCAAAAATATAACGACTCCTAATATTATAGTTCGTGTCGCGTACTTCATTAATGGAAAAGAAGACTATTTAACAAGAGACTTACGTACACAAATGTACTCAAAATATGGTCCTTTGTTTGTAAATGGTGATTACAGTGCGCTGGACAAATCATAGTTATGATTCCTTAACGGCATCTCCCTTGCCCCATTGCTGATGCAAAGAGAAATAGAATGGTTCAGGCTTAATTAGAAATGAAATTTAATGCACGGCAGTTAAGTAGCTGATCATGTTCGCAAACAAAATACCGATTGTTTTCATCATCTGGAATCCCCTATTTAACGCCCCTCTGATATTTGGTGGAGCCATTTCAGATTGTACACCGGAACAGATTGTTGACAGAAAAAGAGAGAAAAAATTAAACTTGAGTTGGTTTGGGCAATTATATGCATATTTGCGAACTCGATCGATCCTTTAGAAAAATAATAATCTCACTGTGAGTTACTTACTTGATTACAGTAACCCACAGCAAAGCCAAGTAAGAGACGGCCGATGATGAGCATGGCCACATTTACTGCAAACCATTCAACAAGGCACCCACAAGGGAGAACAAGCCTCCAAGAAACATGGAGGTTTTACGACCAAGAATTCTTGTGGCGTTAGAGGCAAAGAGAGAGGCCACCAAAGCTGCGAGGTATAGAGATGAGGTGAACAACGTTAGGAGCTCATTATTGAATTTGCAGTAGGCTCCGTTTTTATGGCCTTTTTCAAGTTTCATTTGTTTGTACACGGAAGGAACTAACTTGATAAAAAATGGGTCCATAGAAGTTACGCCTCCTGTAATCCCAAGGTGATCAAGCATTTAGAAGCATTTAGAAAAGAGTAAAATAAACACATATTAATCACAAAATGAGAGGAGTAATCAAGAGTTAATCCATTCAAGGGTTCAAAATAATCCTAGAACAAAGTGCTTAGCTACTCATAGTCAGCCACAAACTACAACCATAAAAGAAAATTACAGCCATAGCAGATTACAAGAGAGGAAAGGAAAGAATAGCAGAAAAACCTAAAAGAAAGAGCTCAAAATCTCTTCCAAAGCTCAACCCCCTGCTCCAAGCTCTTCAATCTTCCAAAATCCTAGCACACCAGCTCCCTAAAGGTCCAAAATCCTCTTATTTCGGTGTTTTCCTTCTATTTATACAGCATATGGAGCCGGAGAACATGTGCTGTCTTCAAAACGCATAGTATCAGTAATTCTATGTTGGCTACTGTCAATTCCTTTTCGTTGCCTCTGTTGGATGAACCTAAAGGTTCCTGTTGGCTGAGACCAATAGCTTACTGTTTTGGATCTCTTTTTTACTTGATTTTTTCATCATGTCATAGATCTCTAAGCTTTGTTCCAACTCCTAGGGGATTAATATTTGTTTTAAATGACTCCATTCATAAGTTTCAATTACCTAACAAAACAAGACAAACTATGAAAGCGAAAGTTGATGAACCAGGGGCAAAATATTAACAATTAACCATAAATCCATAACTTTAGTGCAAGTATTAACTATGCACATTTTCCTATCATAAATACTTCCAAATATGCATGAATTCACCAAAAAGTATGATCACTAGGGGAAAATGTGCTGATATTACATGAATTTCACAAGGTTATAACAACCATTTACTTATTATAGTATAGATAGTTATGTTTTTTGAAATGTGTATATATTAAATAGGGATAAAGTTAAAAAGTTGTTATATTTTAATAGAAAGTTAATGTCGTTTAAAGTTTTTCTTAATCTGTGCGAAACATGTTAAAAGTGCCTTATAAATAGAACCAGAGAAGTAGTTGGTGTCTCATACTTCATTAATGAAAAAGAAGGCTATTTAACAAGGGAGTTATCTACACAAAATATGGTCCTTCTTTGTAAGGCTACTAACAACTCTCTCATTGCCTTCCTAGTCTATAGGTGTTGGACAAATCACATTTATGATTCCTTATCATTTAATTAATGAAGTGGTGATTACAGTGTTAACAGAGGCAGAAGAATCAGAGATGAGTACTACAAGGCCATAGCTCAGAACAACTGGTCGGCTGCAAAAGCATCCATTGATCGCCATCCAAAGGTATTGAACGCTGATTTTGCTACTTCAATGGGCGAAATATTTCTTCATGTGGCTGTGAAAGTTTGGGCATCTGGGCATAGTAGACGAGTTGGTGAGATTAGTTGCAGAAGAATATCTGGAAATACGCGATGCTTACTATGACAATACTCCACTTGCAATAGCTGCTTCACATAGTGAACTCATCCCAATTGCAGTATGCATGATCATCAAAAATAAAAGGGCACCTGCAACTCCAACTGAAGATGCCACGGCTTTTTATTCTGGCCACAACAAAATGGAACGTTATCTTTATTCTGGTCAGGTCTACTTCGCGTCTTATGACTTTTGATGCAGGAAAAAAAAAAAAAAAAACACAAAACATGGCCGTGACGGAGCTGATGACTATGGGACAGATCGAAACCTTTTAATGCATATATCAACAAATGCGTAGCCAATTATGATTTTCTTTTAACAACAAGAGTTGATGCAATTGATAAAGAGTTGTGACAAACTCAATTATTTTTATATATTTTGGTATCTTTTATATGAGTTTTGTCAGCTTAATTGGTCCCTTTTTTACCTTAATTGATTTATTTTGTTTTATTTTGAATTATTATTTTATAGGGACAAAATTGTCATATTTTGAGTTAATTGTGACTAATTGATTTTTGAGGACAATTAATGCTACCTTATCCTTGAATTTTGCTTGCAGGTTCTAGGAAGATTTAAAAATAAAAAAAAAGGAAAGGAAAAGAAAAATAAAATATATATATATATATAACAATAATAAAAGGGGAGAGCAAAACGAAACGTTTTGCCCTCCCCCAACCTAATAATAATAATCACTCACACACACGAGACAAAAGAAGACGCAAGCGAAGGGGAAAACAAAAGCTGAGCGGCGGCAGAGAGAGAGAGAACACACACACGCGCGACGCCGAACGAAAGGGAGGCTGGAGCTGCGCGAAGAAAAGAAAACAGAGGAGGAGCTGGACGGCGCACACGGACCTGGAACGAACAGAGAGGTCCTTCCATCGGTCCAGTCCATCA